GGCCTTGAACTCACAACGATCCTCCTGCCTCAGCCTTCTAAGTGCTGGGATTACAGGCTTGAGCCACCATGTTCGGCTTCTCTTAGCTTTTGAAGCACTCTGCCTTCCTCTTTCACACCTAATTCTTTTGGTTCTGCACACAGCATGCCTGCACACACACATGCATGCACACACATGCATACACACTCACACAAGCACATCTCCTACAGAAGCTTCAGTTCCCTGTGACACTGTTGCATCTGCCATTCCCCCTAAATGCAGTGCCAGTGTGCACCTACTTCTGTTCCCCAGCTGATGTACCTCACTACAGCTGCCTCCCCCGGGTCTTCCTGTTACCACGAGGCTGCCACAGAAATGGCCAGGGTCCTTAGTCCTCAATCTCCCTTCCCTCCTAGTCACTCTGAGAGGGGCCGAGGCACACCCTTTGCCACCTCTAGCACTATCAGAGGGGACCGTGAGCCCAGAAAACAGAAGTCCAGCTGTTCCCAGTGTCACTTGTTGATTCTAAAGCAAGGTTAAAGCGGGGCGTGGTGGAGCACACCTATAATCCCAGAACTTGGGAGGCTGAGGCAGGAGGATCATTGCGAGTTCGAGACCAACTTGGGCTACAAAGTGAGCTCAAGACCAGCCTGAACTGTAGAGCAAGACCCTGTCTCAAAAAGACAAATAAATAAAGCAAGGTTCAATTGCCTCCTGGGGCCTGTCTTTTTGCCTAATAGAGATCCAAGGACCAAGATGAAGCCAGTAGCCAGCATAGCCCCAGGAAATGCCTCTGGTGACACACGTTCCTGTCCTCTCTTCAGCCCCTGCCAACAGAGAGAAGTCAGCCTTGGCAAGGGCTCTGGACGTGTCCAAGGCCTGCAATGGTCAGACTTGCTGCTGATGGTGTTCTGTTCCTACCATTGGCTCCTACATTATGCAAGAGAATAGACAGCACCCCGGGCCAGCCTGTTGCCAGGCAAGCCAATACGGGGCGATGTCTTGCTCCACTGTACCAAGGGCCTACTTCTCTCCAGATCATGCCATCTGCTGAGTGCCTTTACACGAGCCAGAAACTGACTCTATAATAGCCAGCAGGGGGTGGCAGCTACCATCACAGGTAGTTTTTTTAATTTTTGCTTTCATTTTTGAGACAGGGTCTCACTATAAAGTTCAGGCTGCTTTGAGCTTACTTTGTAGCCCAGGCTGGCCTCCAACTCACAACGATCCTCCTGCCTCAGCCTCTTAGGTGCTGGGATTACAGGTGTGTACCACGACGCCCAGTTTTGCACTGCTCCCACCCTGGAAGAGGAGAAAAGGATTCCACAGTTCTGAGCACCGTGGGGTGAGTGTGAGGTGGGAGAGAAGCCGCCCCAGAGATGAAAGAAACCTGGGCACGCTTGGGCGCGGGAAGGGTGCCTGGCCGATCTGATTTGATCTAGGACTTTCGGCCCCTCCTCTGGCCCCCAGACAATACTGTCTCGTTGAGATTCAGAAAAGATTCACCAGACTCCTTATGAGGCTAATGGAAGGCCTGCGTTGTGATAATTACCCTGAGGGAATAAAGAAGCTGTGCTGAGCTGAGCATGTCAATAAAGGCCTTTCACAGATCTGTTTTATTTAATCCTCACAGTAGAGCTGATGGCAGAGACTCCTTTCCCTTTTGTAGGTGGGAAAGCGTTAGATGCAGTTAACACACACACACACACACACACACACACACACACACACTTTAGTTTGTTTTGAGACAGGGTCTCACTACGCAGTTCAGGCTGGCCTTGAGCTCACTTTGTAGCCCAGGCTGGTCTTGAACTCACAACGATCTTCCTGCCTCAGCCTCCCGAGTGCTGGGATCACAGGCGTGCGCCACCACCCCTGGCTCACACACACACTTTAGAACTACGCATGATCTGATTTGAATTCTAGTTCTGCTGCTGTGTGTGTCTATGACCTTGGGCAAGCCAAATGACCCTACCGAACCTGGGTCTTCCTCACCTGGGGAAGCGGGATTGTTGTGATGGTTACAGGAAGTGCTGGTGAAGTGTGTGGTGTAGAATAAGAACTCCTATAAAAATATAACAGGCTGAGGGTGTAGTTCAGGGGTTCAGGGCTTGTCTAGCATGCACAAGGCCCCGGCTTCCTTCCCCGGCGCTACAAAAATAAATACATAAAATAGTAAATGAATAACACTTGATCTTAGCCAAAAGGCTGAGAAGCAATAATAAATGAATAACAAAATGAATGATTGCACAGGAACTGTTTCACATGTTATATTTAATTACCCCCTGGCCCTCTGGGAGTTCTGCTATTGTCCCCACATATATGTATATACACACATATTTTTTTTTCTTGTACTAGGAATCGAACTCATGACTTGCACTTGCCAGGCAGGCACTTATGCCACTGAGCTATATCTCCAGCTGTCTCTATGGATCGATGAGAAGCTAAAGAGTTCAATCAAGGCACATGAGGATGGCTGACTTGTGAAAGACAGAACCAGAACTCAGGCCCCGGCAATGGAACTCGTGTATATATGGCAGAGGCTCAGAATTTCTGAAATCGGCTGCGATCTCACGGCCAGGCTGTGGGAGAAGGAAGGGCCTGGACGCTTTGCTGCCTGTCCACATCTCATCCGGTGGACCTCCGACCTTCTTCTGGTGTACAGACAAAGGGTGGGACTGGACCTGCTTGGAAAGCACCTAACCTGGGACAAGTACAAACAAAACTGCTAAATAATAAATGCGCTGGCACCCTGGCAGGACTCTCTCCGGAGCACGGGCAGGGGCAATCGGACCTTTCTCTGCGTATCACATGGGGATCAGGCCGCTTCTGGCTGATTATTGTTTACTTATTCAAGCCTGCGATGGTATCACCTGTGAGCCCGCAGCCGTGGACCAGCAACCAGGATGAGCGCGACAGCATGACGGCATTCGAAAGGCAGGAGCCCGGAGCGACAGGAACTGGTAAACCAGGCGCAGGGCAGGTCTGTGGGGACGGGGTGCGGGGGAAGCAACTCACCTAGAGGGCCGGCCGAGGAGAGGAGGACCCTGACTCGACGCCTGCACACGCTGCGCCTCTCCTACAGGGGCCCAAACTTTCTGGCCGCATTCCCGGTGGTGGCTCCCTTTCGGCGCCAGCATGCCCAGGCTCTTCTTGAACAGCGAGGCAAGGGTGCACAGTGTGGCGTCCATCTCTTTTTTTTTTTTTTTTTTTTGTTGGTTTTTCTCCGGTACCGGGAACCGAACTCACGAGCTTGCACTTGCCGGGAAGGCGCTTTGCCGCTGAGCTAAATCCCCAGCCCCGCGTCCATCTCTTTATGATGACTTGCTTAGTACATCGCAGGAGGATCACGGGCGCATGCGCAGGCACACCCGCTATTTTCTTTCCAGTTCTTTCAACACTGCTGATGGCTCCAGGAGAAAGCCCTTCCCGATGCCAGGAGCCTTTTAACACCTTTCTATCTGTGCTTATCTTTTTCTTTCTTTTAATGGACAGCAGACCTCCAGCTCAGACTGTGCAGCAGCGGATACTATCTGAACGTATCTGTTCATTTTATATCGAGTTTTTGTTACTTGTCTATTTGCAAGTGATAGTGCCCTTCTATTTTTCTATAGGGTTACAAAGTTTCCTCTTAGAGTACAAGGTTAAAAACAGGCTTTTTGAGCTGGACATGGTGTTGCAAGCCTGTAATCCCAGCACTGGGGAGGCTGAGGCAGGAATGAGTTTAAGGGCCAGCCTGTGCAACCTAGCGAGACCATGCTTCAGAATACAAAACAAAACAACAAAACAGGCACCCTGGATGGAATTCGGATTTCTGGGTTCAAAACCAGAACCAGGGGATTTAGCTCAGTGGCACAGCGCCTGCCTGGCAAGTGCAAGGTCATGAGTTCGATTCCTGGTACAGGAAAAAAAAAAAAAAAAGTTAATTACTCTTTGGGCTGGGGATTTAGCTCAGCGGCAAAAGCGCCTGACTGGCAAGCGCAAGGTCGTGAGTTCGGTTCCCGGTACCGGAGAAAAACCAAAAAAAAAAAAAAACAAAACAAAAAACAGAACCAGCTGTGCCACTAACACTACTTCTGTGACCTTGGAAAAGTCATACAACCTGTCTATGCCTCAATATCCTCATCTACACAAGGAAAGTAACAGTGGACAGTGGACAGTAATATATGGAAAGGACTCAGATTGGTTCCTGTAGCTAATAAATGCCACATAAATATTTGGGTTATTAGGTCAAGTAGGGCAAAAACCAAAGCAAAACCATTACCCGAAGTTTGGGGAACACTTCCTTGTGTTTTGTTTTTTGTTTGTTTTAGTACCGGGAATCGAACTCAGGACCTTGCATTTGCCAGACAGGCGCTTATGCCGCTGAGCTATATCCCCAGCCCGGGGAACACTTCTTTGGGTCAGTTCCACCATTTTTCACGAGGGGAAACAAAGGTTTGGAGAACAGGCTGAGCTAGGATCTCCGTAAGTTTCTGGATGGTCAGTCTAATTATTAGCCATTTCAGTAATTAGTACAACCTCTCAGCCTTGACTCACTCACCTGCAAAATGGATCTAATGGCTCTTGAATGTTGCGTGTGTGTAAGAGTGGTTCAAAATATCAGTGTGAGTGTGTAGTCTCTTGTGTTCCTTTTCTTGTGTGGGTTTTTTTGTTTTTTTTTTTTCCAGTACTGGGAATTGAACTCACGACCTTGTGCTTGCCAGGCAGGTGCTGTGCCGCTGAGCTAAATCCCCAGCCCTTCTTGTGTGGTTTTTTGAGAGAGGGTCTTACATAGTCCAGGTTGGCCTTGAACTTGTGGCAATCCTCCTGCCTCAGCCTCCCAGGTGCTGGGATCTCTTGTGTTTATAATGGGGATTAATGTTGCTCCCAAAGGGGCAAATATTGTTTCTTGGGCCAGGTGTGGTGACACACTCCTGTAACTCTATCATTTGGGGGGCCGGGGATATAGCTCAGCGGCATAAGCGCCTGCCTGGCAAGCACAAGATCCTGAGTTTGAGTCCCAGTACCCACACACACAAAAAAGCTTTATCATTTGGGAAGCGGAGGCAGGAGGACTGCAGACCGTGTCTCATACGCACACAAAAAAGTTCTTGGGTGATGAAACAAATCTTTCTGTTTTTAATGTATAATGCACAGATATACATTAAGAGATACACGGTATATCTGTTATTAAAATTATTAATTAAAGCGGGGTGTGGTGGTGCACACCTGTGATCCCAGCACTTGGGAGGCTGAGGCAGGAGGATTGTTGCAAGTTCGAGACCAGCTTGGGCTACAAAATGAGCTGAAGACCAGCCTGAATCGTATAGCGAGACCCTGTCTCAAAAAGACAAATAAATAAATAAATAAATAACATTATTAATTAAAGTTATTAAAATCTCCTGATGGGAAGACTCCTTAGAGGAGCAGCCATGAAAAGCAAAGCTGAGAAAAACTGCCGTACACGAAGATTTTCCTACTTGGATCATTGCCTACTGGTGCATTGTGAAATAATGCCCAGCACTGGCCCGGGAGTAGGGGGTGAGCATGGAATGCAGTTCAGGGACCCATCAGCACTGTAATAACATAGGTTGGGGTGCAGCACATGCTTAGCATGCTCAAGGCCCTGGGTTCAATCCATAGCACTAAAAATAATACAATTTGCTTTCAGTTCAGTGCGTGCGTGCGTGCGAGTGGGCGTGTGTGCGCGCTGCGGCGTGGAATAAGTGTCTGTGTGTCACTAAGACAGTGCAAAGACAGTGGCCCGAAGCACTACTTTCCCCTCTCACCCTTTATTTCTCAGACAAGCTTGTGCATTATGGGACTTCTGGCTTGAAATAAGAAGAATTGATGATGAAAGAAAGAAATGTAGGTGAGAGTTCTGAGTCCAGTGAAAATCAGGCCTGACTTTTCCCAGCGCATAGCCTGGGAGCCTTTCCCCTACCTTGCCCCTGCGTTCCCGGTGAGCCCCAGATCCGGAGAAGGAGCCGCAGCAGCCCCAGAGGGCGGCTGCCCCTGTCCTCCCCGCCCCAACCTCCCCTCGCATGGTGGGAAGGAGACTTTCTCGGGAGCTGAGGCTGAAGGCTGACTCTGAGGTTGACTGCGAGTTATGTACCTTGGAGTCTCAGGTTTTCCAGCAGGAAAATTGTAGGGTTGGAGGGACCATCCTGTAGCGGAACGTCTACTCCGCACCGCGTGTGCTACGGGTGCTGGTGATGGCCTTAGCTGCCGAGTGCTGCAGGGCGTGGGTTAGAAGCTTCACAGTGGACGCGTGCAGAGCAGGGCACGCTCTCGACACACCCTGCCTGGTTGCAAATCCCGGGTCAGACCAGGTTCACGGAGCTCCCCAGGCGGCCCCGGCTGGCTTCGCACTCACGCTTCTCCTATCTCAGCCATCTGAGCAGCTGGAATTAATAGTATGGGTCTTTCCACCATGCCAGGATTGAGGGCCAGGGATATATCTCAACGGCACAGGGCGCTGCCTGGCAAGTGCAAGGGCCGGAGTTTGATTCCCGGTACAAAAAAAAAAATCATCAATCCACCATTCCTGGCTTGACGTGATGGCTTTTTAAATTTATTGTTATTATTTTAGACAGGGTCTCATTAAGTTACTAATTTTCCCAGGGTGGGCTCAAACCTGCAATCCTCCTGCCTCCCAGAGTCTTGGGATTACAGGTATACACCCCTGTGCCAGCTGGTTTTTATTTTTATTTCATTTATTATTGTCATTATTGTTGTTGTGTTTGTTTTGTTTTTGGTACTGGGGATTGAAACTTGGGCCTCTCAAATGCTAGGCAAATGCTGTACCACTAAGCTATATCCTCAGCCCTGACTTTCTTTCCTTCTTTTCTTTTCTTTCTTTCTCTTTTTTGGAGGGGCATGGGTGGAGAACCACAGGCATGGGACACCAGGTCCAGCTATATGTATCTTTGATTATGCATGGAATCAGAGTTTGAAGTCCATACACTCCCACCTGGAAATTGCCATCTTAAATTATTATTCTATATTGCTTTTTTTGGGGTCATTTTGAGACATGGTTTCACTATACAGTTAAGGCTAGATTTGAACTCACTTTGTAGCCCAGGCTGGTCTCGAACTCTCAACGATCCTCCTGCCTCAGCCTCCCGAGTGCTGGGATTACAGACATGCGCCACTATGCCCGGCCTTTGAACTCATTTTGTAGCCCGGTAGCCCAAGGTGGCCTCGATCTCAGAGCAATCCTCCTGCCTCAGCCTCCTGAGTGTTGGAATGTTCTCATTATATCATTCAGACAGGCCTTGAACTCACTAAGTAGCCCAGCGTGGCCTCGCAGTGCTGGGATCACAGGCGTGCGCCGCCATGCCCAGCTTTATACTGTCTTTTAAAGCAATTAAGACTTAACCTGGTCATATTTTCCCTAGTCACCTTTTTTTTACCCTCTCTCAACTTCGTCCTTTTTTTTTTTTTTTTTTTTTTTTTTTTTTTTTTTTTTTTGTACAGGGTGTTGAACTCAGGACCTTGCTCTTGCCAAGCAGGTGCTTATGCCACTGAGTTATATCTCCGGCCCCTCAGCTCCGTCCTTGAAATGTAACTGTACATCAAGTCACCAACAAATTCTAATTGGCCAATTCTCTGATTGTTGTTAAAATGACCCGCCCCTTCCCCTAGCGGAAACAAATGATAGGGCATGTGTGTCAAGAAGTTGGCCAATGAGAGGACGGCATAGTCCAACCAGTCAACCAATAGGTGAGTGACATGCCCGCTTCTCCAACTGCCTCCGCAGCTAGCAGCCTCGTGCCCTTGCAGTTTGACACCTTCCTTGTGTTCCTGGGGTTCCTTTCAAAGCCACTAAAGGCATACAGGATGGCGGGCCCCGGCTCCCTCCCTCTCGCCTGGGCCTTCCCCACCCCTCTCCTCCCTGGAGGGGCTGGGAGGGGAGGCTTTTCCAGGCAGAGATAATATATATGTAAATATATGTGGATCCAAGGTTTTTCTTTTACTTTTTTTCATTTTACGGGATAATTTTGCCTTCCTTTTTGAAAAAAAAAGTTATTTTAAAGCTTCTATATTTTTGACAAGTTGAACTCCTTTCCTTTTCTGAGTTGTGGGGGCTGCCCTCCCAGCCTGTCCCTGAGAGGTGAGGCTCAGAGGTCTGCACACCTGGGAGGAGGGGGGGCACGGGGGGGCCCACATGTGCAGGGGAGGTGCTGCTGGGTGAGGGGGGACAGGGAAGGGTGGTCAGATGTGAGCTGGATGGTGCAGGCCAGCTTCAGAAATACAGCAAAAATTTGTGGAAGTCAGAATTTGGTATAAAACAGAATCAGACAAACAAAATAAAACCCAGGATATCCAACTGTCCTAGATGAGGGATATTCAAAGTGCGATAAGGTAGCCAGATGTGGTAGTGTGCAGCTGGAATCCTACCAGTCAGGAGGCTGAGGCAGGAGGAATGCTGTGATTTCAAGGCCAGCCTGGGCTGCATAGTGAGTTGGAGATCAGTCTTAATTACATAGGGACATACTGTCTCAGAATCAATAAACAACATTAAAAGTGCAGTAAGAATTCAAGAGAGATTAGAGAAGGGGAATGTCTGCTGCTTGCAAGGGTACAGACAAGTGGACCTTGTACGGCGTGGGTCTTTGGGGTGAAGGGGGCTGGGGGTCCGGAAGAACGCTGAAATGAGGTGCTTTCATGGCTCTTTTTTTACCTTCTCTACTCCAGGCAGGCATGGTCCTGCTTTTTGTACTAGGCTGCATCTTCTTCCCAGGGTGCTTTGCTGTCTTCCGCTGGGGCCTTCAGAACCACGCCAGTCTGCAGATGGAGAGGCAAGAGGCAGTTTTGGTGGCATCCAAGTAAGAAGGGTGAGGGCTGCTGGAGCTGAGGTCATCATCTCTAACTGTCCCTCCTAGGTCCTGGGAGAATTAGTGGTGGAACCGAACTGGAAGTGTGGGGTGGGTGGGGCTGGAGTTGAGCCAAGACACACCCAGGAGTGCATGGGAGCACACACCTGTAACACAGCTAGCTACTCAGGAGGCTGAGGCAGGAGGATCGAAAGTTTGAGGCCAGGCTGGGCAATTTAAGAAGACCCTGTTTCCAAATAAAACATAAAAAGGACTGGGGATGTAGCTCAGTGGTAGAGCACCCCTGGATTTATCTCTAGTACCAGAAAAGGAGAGCTATGGAGGTTTTGTTTGTTTGTTTGTTTGTTTGTACCAGGAAGCAAACTCAGAACCTTGCGCTTGCCAGGCAGGCGTTTGTGCCACTGAGCTACATCCCCGGCTAGAGTCTTGGTTTAACCTCGGAGCTGCAGATCCCTCCTTTGGAAGTAGACTTAATGACAGCATTTGCTTTCCTTTCTTCATGGAGGGTCACGGAAATTAATGGCTCTAACGAAAGGGCTTCACAGTCCCGCAAACAACACAAGGGGTGCAGGCGCTTTGGGCAGTGTCATGAGCTGCGAGAGTCACAGGCATTTAATGGGGCAGCAGCTGCTCAGCTCCAACAAGACCTCCCAGGGAGCGTGAGCCCTGTGTTGTCTGTTCTGATTCTTCGTGTTGTTTTTGTTTTTGCAGTTCTGGGCAGCAAACCTAGGGCCTTGTGCACACTAGACAGGCACTGTGCCACTGAAATACAGCCCCAGCTCTACTTTCCATTCTTTCTAAAAAGAAGTGGAACTTTTTTTTTTTTTTTTTTTTTTGGGGGGACAGGGTCTTGCTGTGCAGTTCAGGCTGGCCTGGAGCTCACTTTGTAGCCCAGGCTGGTCTTGAACCCGCAACGATCCTCCTGCCTCAGCCTCCTGAGCGCTGGGATTACAGGAGTGCGCCACCACGCCCAGCTAGAAGTGGAACTTTTGTGTGAGACCTATGAACTTTTGAACATTAAACAATAACTCAGAATAAACTACTACACTGGCCAGGTGTGGTGGCTGCACCTGTAATCCTTGTATTCGGGAACCTGAGGCAGGGGGATCTTGAGTCCAAGGCGAGGCTGGGCTACTTCATGAGTTCAAGGGCAGCCTGGATTACATAGAGGGAACCTGTCTCAAAAAGCCAAAAATGGTGCCCACTTTGGCAGCAAATATACTAAAATTGGAATGATACAGAGAAGGTTCACAAGGCCCCCGAGGAAGGATGGCATGTGATTTTCTGCTGTGTTCCTTCCATATTTTAAAAAACAAAACAAGCAAGCTAGGGATGTAGCTCAGGGTTAGGGCACTTGCCTAGCATGTGCAAGGCCCTGCATTCAATTCCCAGTTCCAGAGAGAGAGAGAGACAGAGAGAGAGAGAGGCAGAGAAAGGGTAAATTGTGCCCTGCCGGCAACGCCATACCAGCCAAAGAAACCTGTGAGCTGGTGGGGCCCTCAGACTGTGAGTTTATGACCTACTTGAAAAAGCTGAATATAAACATCGGCTCTGCCAAACTTTAGGTAGACGAGGGAGCGTGCAGAGGGCAGAATTTACTAGGGTGTCTAAGTGAATTCCTAGCACACAAAACAATGAAAAGCCCTGTGTTCATCCACTCTCATCTTTATCATCTGAGGCAAAACCATGGTTCCTTGACCAGCTCTGTCCCATCACCCCTCCTCTGCTCCTCCTAGCTCAGTGGCTTTTGCATTTTCCCATCGTTGGCTTTGAAGTTTGAAATCAAGGCTTATCGATTTCCCTAACTGTGTTATCTTGGCAAGTTATCTTTTTCTTTTTCTTTTCTTTTCTTTCTTTCTTTCTTTCTTTTTTTTTTTTTTTAAACAATTCAGTTCCCTAAGAATTCAGCCCAGGGCCTTTGCAATAAGCTATGTCCCCAACCCTTTAAAAATTATCTCTTTAAGCCAGGCATGGTGGCGCACTCCTGTAATCCCAGCACTCAGGAGATTGAGGCAGGAGGTTAGTTGCAAGTTCGAGGCCAGCCTGGGCTACAAAGTGAGCTCAAGACCAGCCTGAACTGCACACCGAGACCCTGTCTCAAAAAGATAAATAAATAAATAAATACATAAATAAAAAACATCCATTGTATTTTGAGACACAGTCTCATGAAGCTGCCCAGACTGGCCTCATATTTGGGATCCTTCTGCCTCAGCCTCCTAAGTAGCTGAGGTTACGGGTGTGTGCCACCATGTCTGGCTCAATTTTTTTTTAAGTTTTGGTGTTTGGTTTTTTTTTTTAGACTTCTGAACCCAAGTATTTTCTTCAATAAAACAAGGATATTATTACTTGGGAAGATTAAATAAGAATCAACAAGGGGTAGGGGTGTAGCTAACTGCTGGCCTAGACATGTACAATGTCCTGGGTTCAATCACCAGCAACACAGACACACAGACACACAGACACACACACACACACACACACACACATACACTCACTCACAAAGAGGGGGATTTGTCAGTGTAAATCACCTGTCACTGTGCCCATAAAATAGCAGAACTCAGGAAGTTGGGCCCCCTTTCCTTGAGGGAGTCCCGGAGGTCCGGAAACGGAGTCTACAGTGATCTCTTTAACTCCTGCCCAGCGGGAGATTTCTTTGGGTCTTTCCCTCAATCTGCCACTAGAGGGCAGCACAAAATCACAAATCTCAGCCCCGTGCCTCTTTTGGGGAGGAGAGGGAGTGGGGTTTGGATTCTGCAATGCCAGTGCAGAGTTGGTTGCTGCGGTGCGTCTCGGGGCAAACCCGAAGCCCGAGCGCAGTTGGAGTAGCAGGCCCCGTGTCCCGAAGGGGCGCACGGGACAGCTGGGTTCAGGACAGGAAGGCAGCGCTCCAGGAAGTGGGGGCAGAGGCCAAGCAGAGCTGGGCATGGGGGCGAGGCCTGTCACCCCAGGAGGCTGAGCATGGGCGCTTGCTGAGGTCTGGGGGAGAGAGAGAAAGGAAAAGGAGGAAGGAAGGAAGGGCTGGGAGGAAGCGCAGCGGTGGTGTCCGCCTGGCGTGTGGAAGCCCTGGGCTCAGTTCGCAGCATAAAGGGGGGCCCTAGCCTGGGCTGGGCACTGCCCGGCGCTGGCCAAGGCGCTGGGGCCCGCTCTCCCCGCGGCTGGCCGAGGGCCTTGCCCACTCAGGGAGCAGGAGTTCTGTGAAGTGGCCGAGGCGGGGGCCGGGAGCATCGCACAGAGGAGAAGAAACGAGGGACTGCTGATTAGGGCACTGGGGGCGCTGGGGCTCCCTGGGCTCCAGGCAGGTTTTCTTCAAGGCAGCGCCCCCGCTTCCAGCCCTTTCCGCCACCCCGATGCCCAGGCCGCAGCCCTGGGAGCCTCCCTCCGCGCCGCGGGAGGCCCGGCGCTGTTGGGGACCCGGGGTCCCACGCAGGCCGCTGTCCGCTCCCGGGGGGCGGGGCCGAGGAGTCCGCACCTCCCCGGGGAGAGAGACGCGCCGCCCC